GAGGCGACCAAGAGACGACCAAGAGACGACCAAGAGACGACCACGAGACCACCAAGAGACCACCAAAAGACCACCAAAAGACCACCAAGAGACGACCAAGAGACGACCAAGAGACGACCAAGAGACGACCAAGAGACGACCAAGAGACCACCAAGAGACCACCAAGAGACCACCAAGAGACGACCAAGAGACGGACAAGAGACGACCAAGAGACCACCAAGAGACCACCAAGAGACGACCAAGAGACGACCAAGAGACGACCAAGAGACGACCACGAGACCACCAAGAGACGACCAAGAGACGACCAAGAGACCACCAAGAGACGACCAAGAGACCACCAAAAGACCACCAAAAGACCACCAAGAGACGACCAAGAGACGACCAAGAGACCACCAAGAGACGACCAAGAGACGACCAAGAGACCACCAAGAGACGACCAAGAGACCACCAAGAGACGACCAAGAGACCACCAAGAGACCACCAAGAGACCACCAAGAGACCACCAAGAGACGACCAAGAGACGACCAAGAGACCACCAAGAGACCACCAAGAGACGACCAAGAGACGACCAAGAGACCACCAAGAGACGACCAAGAGACCACCAAGAGACCACCAAGAGACGACCAAGAGACCACCAAGAGACCACCAAGAGACGACCAAGAGACCACCAAGAGACGACCAAGAGACGACCAAGAGACCACCAAGAGACCACCAAGAGACGACCAAGAGACCACCAAGAGACCACCAAGAGACGACCAAGAGACCGCCAAGAGACCACCAAGAGACCACCAAGAGACGACCAAGAGACCACCAAGAGACCACCAAGAGACGACCAAGAGACCACCAAGAGACCACCAAGAGACGACCAAGAGACGACCAAGAGACCACCAAGAGACGACCAAGAGACCACCAAGAGACGACCAAGAGACCACCAAGAGACCACCAAGAGACGACCAAGAGACCACCAAGAGACGGACAAGAGACGGATCAACCGCGGCTCTCTCCACGACTCTCACTCACCACACCCACCCCGCACCCAGCAATCTGCCTCACATCCCCCTCTTAGCGCCCCTTCTTTTAATTAAGTTCCCCCTCCAATCTCTCCCATCACCTCCTCACAGTCTCCCTCTCTCCCATCACCTCCTCACAGTCTCCATCTCTCCCATCACCTCCTCACAGTCTCCCTCTCTCCCATCACCTCCTCACAGTCTCCCTCTCTCCCATCACCTCCTCACTGTCTCCCTCTCTCCCATCACCTCCTCACAGTCTCCCTCTCTCCCATCACCTCCTCACTGTCTCCCTCTCTCCCATCACCTCCTCACTGTCTCCCTCTCTCCCATCACCTCCTCACTGTCTCCCTCTCTCCCATCACCTCCTCACAGTCTCCCTCTCTCCCATCACCTCCTCACAGTCTCCCTCTCTCCCATCACCTCCTCACACTCTCCCTCTCTCCCATCACCTCCTCACAGTCTCCCACTCTCCCATCACCTCCTCACTATCTCCCTCTCTCCCATCACCTCCTCACAGTCTCCCTCTCTCCCATCACCTCCTCACAGTCTCCCTCTCTCCCATCACCTCCTCACAGTCTCCCTCTCTCCCATCACCTCCTCACAGTCTCCCTCTCTCCCATCACCTCCTCACAGTCTCCCTGTCGCGTCTCCCTCTCTCCCATCACCTCCTCACAGTCTCCCTCTCTCCCATCACCTCCTCACAGTCTCCCTCTCTCCCATCACCTCCTCACAGTCTCCCTCTCTCCCATCACCTCCTCACAGTCTCCCTCTCTCCCATCACCTCCTCACAGTCTCCCTCTCTCCCATCACCTCCTCACAGTCTCCCTCTCTCCATTCACCTCCTCACTGTCTCCCTCTCTCCCATCACCTCCTCACTGTCTACCTCTCTCCCATCAGCTCCTCACAGTCTCCCTCTCTCTCATCACCTCCTCACAGTCTCCCTCTCTCCCATCACCTCCTCACAGTCTCCCTCTCTCCCATCACCTCCTCACAGTCTCCCTCTCTCCCATCACCTCCTCACAGTCTCCCTCTCGCCCATCACCTCCTCACTGTCTACCTCTCTCCCATCAGCTCCTCACAGTCTCCCTCTCTCTCATCACCTCCTCACAGTCTCCCTCTCTCTCATCACCTCCTCACTGTCTCCCTCTCTCCCATCACCTCCTCACTGTCTCCCTCTCTCCCATCACCTCCTCACAGTCTCCCTCTCTCCCCGTTGTCGTCCCCACCTCCGCACAGTCTCCCTCTCTCCCATCACCTCCTCACAGTCTCCCTCTCTCCCATCACCTCCTCACAGTCTCCCTCTCTCCCATCACCTCCTCACAGTCTCCCTCTCTCCCATCACCTCCTCACAGTCTCCCTCTCTCCCCGTTGTCGTCCCCACCTCCTCACCGTCTCTCCTCCCCCGTTGCCACCCGACTGGTGCCGAAGGTCTCGAGGCCCGCGCCTGCCGCCGCCGCTGCCGCCGCCGCCGCTGCTCCACTCGCGGCGGCGTAGGAGGGGAGGAGGAGGGGGGTCCCGGGGGGGTCCCGGGGGGGTCCCCGCGGTCCTCGCTCGACGCGACTGGTCCGGGCTGCTGCGGGGACCCGGGGACTCTTGTGGGACCGCGGGGCCCGGAGCCCGACACAATCGCCTCCCTTGGCCGCGCGCTCCGCGGGGGATGCGGGGGCCCTGGTCGCGAGGGGGCCGGGTTACGCAGCGACCCCTGCCGGCCGGACCCGCCGCCGCCTCCTCCTCGTCGTCGTCGTCTGTGATCATCACGGGAGGAGGTGGGTGGGGGTGGTAAGCCCGGGCCTGTTCATGAGACACCGCGGTTCGAGGCCGCTGTCGTTGTTGTTGTTGTTCCACTTTCGGTATCAGCGTCCACGTCTCTTGCCCAGGTCATGGCGCTGTTCGACAGCGGTGTTCCTCTTGCAGAACGTGGCCGTGTTGCTTTCTTTTTGTTAATGCGTGCGACTAAACGTTTACAAGAGCATCCCGAAGCTGCCGGCGCCTCTCTCGTCATGTCACGACTCGAGCCGCACGCCAGCCAGCGAGCCGGCTCATTGCGTTACTCAGCACGAGTGTGGGGGCATTCCTCAACATTTGTGGTGCTCTTTGGCTCAGCTCTGCAGCATTCAATTATTCCCTGCTGTGATACAACTCCCGCGGGTCGTTACACATACCTTCTAACTCGTAATATCTTTAATGTTTTGTGTAACCGTTCTTTTCCCCGACAGGTTTTAGTTTTGGAGCTCTGCTGATCCTTTCTGTTTGGTCAGCATTTTGATCCCTCATCTCGCCTTCTTCTTCAGCGTGCTTCCTTATTATTTGTTTGTTCTCATCCATTCGGGTCACTCCGCGGGGGGTTTAGGGGCTTAACAGAAGTGGCAGCCACCCACTGACAGCGGAAATCTCAGCACGATTTGGATTTCTAAAGGATTGCCTCCTGGGCAAAGTTGGGTCATCTTTATTCAATGTTCTGTGTCGCGGTGAGCCGCTGCCGACGTTATGGCCGTACGCCCTTGTCGAACGTCGCCTGGCATCGACATTAGTTTGCTTCTTCCTGTTCGAGTTACGAGCGAGGCCACGTAATGATGTGGCCACATTTGTGCCGTCGTGACCATCCACCACCCAACATAGCTGCCACGTGTGTAAAAGCGTGTAATGCGCCATTGATTATAGTTTCAGCCGCCACTAATACGTTTAAAAAAAACTCTAGCAACCAAAATAAACATTAATTTCGCTTAAAGCTGCGCAAAGCGTCTTCGGGGCAAATTCAGAACGTCAGAATGACTTACTGAAACTGGTTCTTAAATCGCCTGGTGCAATTGCAACGTATCGACGATCTGAAACAATAATTTGCACATTAAATTCTGTAACTGTGAGTTTATTTGGCTGTCGGGTGGTGGATAGGTGGTGGAGGGTATCATTTCACAAATTTGGCGATACGTTACATGTCCGAACCCAAAAATCTATTATGAATAATGAGCATAATAGCGGTCGGCTAAAACACACACTGAGTTGGCATCGTGGGGTGTGTGGATGGTGCATCTGTCAGTGACCCAATCCAATTAACCGACATGGCTGCACTAACCTGTTAAATCATTGCTCCAACACCCCACTCGGCAGTAAGCCATTCTCTCTCACCTAACTCCCTTCAGCAAGCCTCTCATTACCACCTGCCCGATACGGAGATTCCTCCGCTTCTTAACCATCAAATACGTCGTCGTTCTTCTCCCACCTGAAACACGACGCGATATTTCATTCCGTCCGGCTCATTTTCACAACTCTCCACCGAATCCACGCTCAAAACCTCCCGATCCCTTTGCGTCTGTCTTTCGCGTTACCCACATCTCGTCTCGCAGGGGAACAGCCCCATCACACTCCAGACGTAGCTCTACATTTTATTTTCTTCGTTGAGCCATCAAAGTGCGTTAACCTTCATCATGGAACCTCCTTTGCCAGTGCCAAAATGTGAGAAGATTTTCCCCTTTTTTCTGGCAACAAAACAGGTGTTAAGATGTTAAAACACACCTTTTGGCGTCCTCTGGTCTAACACTGTTTTGAGACTAGGCTCAAAAGAATGCTGTCTCTGGTGTGGACTAATCAGTTTCAAGGACAATGCATATATTATCAGAGTATGTTTTTGTTTACATTCTGACCACAAGTATTGTGGTTAATGCAGACATGATTCCTCGTAAAAGGTTTCAGTTTGGTGTTTTAACATCTTAACACAGCTGTTTTGTCGCCAGAAAAAAGGGGAAAACCTATTCTCATGCGTTAACCTTCTAAACATTTCGATGTAACCCGCAGTGATATCGTCCCGAACGCTGACGCATATAGGGCAAAAGTCAGATTACGGTGTGAATGTCACAACACCCGTCATGATTCGTTATAATTAGGATGTTTGATTTTTCTTTCTCATGCGCTAGGTGCAAGTGGCCCTCGGTAGCAGGCGCTGCCTCATTACCTCCACCGTGCCACGTCTCCAATAACCAACGCGGACTCGGGTTAGGATGTAAAGCTTGCCTTTAATACTCCAGATTCACGGTGATAAAAAGTACGCACAGCACCACACGAGGGCCCTGGTGGGACCCGGTACACCGCACGGAGACGTCTCGCACACGCGGCCGACCTACCTCACCCACCACGGTCTAGGACGGCCATTAAATAGAACGCACACTATTTACACACAGAGGGCACACGGGGCACGCCGATGCTTGTACACTCACATGTAACATTGTCTAAAACGCTCAGAGAGCTGGTCACCGAGCCGAAAATACATTGAATTTTGGCAAAATATGCTTTCCAAACACAAGGCTGAATAATAGGTTTTCGGCCTTGAGCCTCGACAGCTTAAACCTGCAAAAAGGTTACATTTTTCAGATTGGCAGCCAGGTTGTACAGAACCACACGCGCGCACGCACGGCACACGCGACCACGGCACACGCGCACACGTGGGGTGGAATCGGCATGGCATGCACACACACGACGGCATGTACAGGTGGCACGCACAGACGGCACACACGCATGGCACACGTACCACAGCTGGGGGAAAGGCGCGCGGCTAGTGGAGTGGGGCAGCGAGGGCGAGCATGCGGGGCGCACGCCACTCATCACCCACGTGGGGAGGAGGAACGCAAAGCGTACCAACACCTTCCGTTAAACAACACTAAACGCTATGGTTACTGCATGAGACATTCTTTTTTTTCCAAACACATGGCACGAGCAGAGTACACACTACATTTATTAATCACTTCAGGTCCCTTAGCCCACACGTCTGTCTGTTCAGAACGCTTCGTGATTACAGCCACGCCCGGTCACCACTCGCGCTGCGGGTGTTCGTGCCCAGGCATGTAAAATCTGACGTTGTTGTAGGGGAACACCTAGTCAACACGCCAACGTGGCCTGGCCTCTGTACAGATGCACTCGACCTTCCTGCCCATCAGGCCACCACCGTGTCTGGCCTGAGGGGCAGACGGGACGGTGAACAGTGTTGCCGTAATACAGGTGGCCCTGCACTGAAACCACACTTTAAATGCTATTTTGCATTGGAACTGGTCTCTATAGGGATTTGTTAAATATACTTTGAGTAGCTCCATGGAGCCTCAACATTGGGCCAGCGCACTACCTTCTCTCGTAGTTATGAGTGGGTTGTGGATGTGTGAGTTGATTTTGCTTACTCCGCTAACAGGAGCTTGGCATTGAACAGTCTGGCGTTGAACGACGTGGCCTTGAACATGCGTGCGAGCACACGTGTGCATGAATAAAGTTGCATACGCACACTCATTTGCATTCACCCACACGCATAGGTAAGCAGCCAGTAGGCATGCGGTCTGTTTGGCCCAGGTAACCCGCCCATTGTACCAAACGAAACCACCAGGTGGACCCGGGACATCATGCAAGCCCTGGGCACCTTCCTGCATCAGACGCGTGGAAGCGCGTGTCGCCTTCACCTGCCACCCGGGGCCCGTGTGCGCTTGGTTACCTTCATGCCCGTCATGCAGCCCTACTGCTCCTCCTGGTAGTTTTTGGCTTTTAAACCGTGTCCACGTTCTGTACAAAACTGTTGTCCGAGGAAAATAGTTCACTTGAGAGGGAGCACTGTGCAATGTTTCCCCCTTAAAAAGTGAGCGGCCAAGTGTTGCATTTGCATTGGTTTTCCTTGCCCGAGGGTGGACTGGCTGTAAGAAACGAAATGTAAAAGTATGCCAAGGCTCAGGTAGAACCTCTTTCGGCTGCTCAAACTTCTGAAAACTGGTTGCTATTATTATTGCTTCCTTTGCCTTACGACCTTTAAACTGCTCGGCCTAAAGGTCGATTGCTCAACCCAAGGACCCCCCCCCCCACTGCCCAGGCCCCAGGATCCCCACTCGACGTCTGCCGAGCGGGTCGTTACGCCCGGATGGTGGCGCGGCTGATCATGTAGTCGGTGACGGGGCTGATGGGCTGCGCGTCGTTCTGATGGCTCCGCCTCTCTATGAACGCGGCGAGACGGGCGACGTCCAGCAGCGCGCCGGGGTAGGCGTAGCCCGGGCACTGCAGCCAGGGATCGAGCAGACAGGCGGAGCATGGGGGGCGCCGCGCGTAGTCACCCTGCAGCAGGAGGCGCACGAACGATCGCGCCTCCTCGCTTACGCTCGCAAAGTACTCCTCCGGGAAGCTGTAATCAAGGCGGCAGATGTTGAGGCAGGTCTCATCGACGCTCTCGTCGAGGAAGGGCGACACGCCGCTGAGCAGCACGTAGGCCAGGACGCCGAGGCTCCACGCGTCGGTGCTGAGCGCCACCGGCTGGCCGCGCACCACCTCGGGCGAGGCGAACTCGGGGCTGCCGAGCAGCACGTGCACGTAGTAGTGCGTGGTGATCTGCACTGCCTCGCCCAGGTCCACGAGCTTCACCCGCACGGCGGACGGACTCGACACCTCCACCAGCAGGTTCTCGGGCTGATGACGCACGGACACAGCACCCCAAATATGAACGCAAACAACGGGAAATGCTTGCGGATCACACATTCGCGAAACTCCCAACTCGACGAGGTCGCCACCTCCTGGCTTGCAAAGGTATAGCAGTACAGCAAATAGCTTCATTTCCATCTTTTATCTGTGTGGGCATTGAGTTTTGGGCCACCCAGTAATGAAGTTGGCCAAACATCCCAATATAGGACCAGAGAACTTGGGCAACTGTTGATGCCAATTCTGACTGCCTTTCCTCTTGCCTGCGGTTTCCCACGCCTCTGTACGGAAACTGCGCATTACAAACTCTATTGCGTTTTTAGAAGTAATATGCATGAACAAAGCTATTTTAATATATATAAATATATTAACACGGTTGAATTACTGGAACATGTGACATTATGCCTTCTCTGTGTGCCGGACAGGGCTCTGTCAAAGAGTCTTTGGGTAACATTGGTAAGGAAGGCCCATAGGCTGTTGGAATATGTTACACGTAACGCTCCACAACAGAGCATCGTGAGCTCATACAAAAAAAATATCCATACTATCTACCATTCTCAACACAGGCTACAAACAGACAGACAAGACGCACATAAGCTGGCAACACTGCAAGAAATTGAATGGACAAGAGGGACGCATTATACTGCACATGGATCACAGGTCGGATGCCCTGCATGCAGAGTTTTGCTAAGAATGGTCACCTTGATGTCCAGGTGGGCAATGCGACAATTGTGCAGGTATTGCAGCGCGTGCAAGGTGTCCCGCAGGTAGCCCGCCACGCTCTCCTCCGTCAGCTCTCCCCGTCGGACCACGTGGTCAAGTAGACGACCATCTGGCAATCTGCAGGACAAACAGACAAAGTTCCACCTATAGCCTTAACAGACTGTTGGGGCAAGTTCTGTTAGCGAGCGACTTTTGATGGCCAATATGCCACACGATGGTGTGGTGGCTAGCACTATGTCCAATCGCATTTGCCTCCCCAGTAGTGCCGTTCACACGTCGCAGGCGAGAATGGCGATTTTTCAATGGGTAGCTTGTGTTGCATGAGCACTGGCTGAGACAGAAAGGGAAGGAAACGCGACTCACAGTTCCAGCACTAGCACGAAGCTCGACGACGTCTCGTAGGTGTCCAGCAGCGACGGCAGCTGCGGGTGCTGCAGGTTGCGCAGCACGGCCGCCTCGTGCGCCACCTGCTCCTTCCGCTTCAGCTTCTTGCTCACGAACTTGGCCGCCACTTCGCGGGGGCTGCCCTTTTGCAGGCAGCGTCGCACCACCGAGAACCGGCCCCTGCGGCGGCACAGGAAACGACGTGGCGCGCTGAGGGCGCCGTGCGGCTCGAACGTGGCGGGGGGGGGGGGGCAGGGGGGAGCGGTGGGGGGGACGGTCAGGCGACGGGGGGGGTCTCGCGCAGAGTGGAGGAGGGCCTCACCGTCCAATCTCGGCGAGCTCGGCGTAGGTGCTGTCGAAGTTGTCCTTCCAGACCGTACGCAATCCATCACTGCTGGCATCTGCACCGCGAAGGGAAATGACTTTTCACCTTTACAATCCATAAATTGTGGCGACTCACACCGCCAAAGGTTACAGTGGGTTTTTTTTACACAGTTGATGAGCACAGGCCCAACTCGTCATGCGGTTAGCAACAAACAGCACCATCAAAGTTATAACACAAACAGAGTGAACACGCGTCTTGAATTTACTGTAACAGCTTGGGGAAAGAGACCATGGAAGGGAATTCCAAAATGCAGCAGTGTGAGGGTAGAAGCAGAAAGAGAAGTGTCGTGACCTGCAGTGCGGTAAATGAGTGGGCAAGTGAATGAGTGAATGTGTGTTGTGACCTCCAAGTGCGCAGTGTTTGAACACAGTGTGAATGAGACAGAACGGTCTGGTAGACCGATTCTTCACACGGGTGGAGGAATCAACAAGTGAGGTTCACGGGAACAGTAGCCATGGTAGTGGAGATGAAAGAGTAATAACACTGTCAGTAAGTGAGCGAGCGATTGGAGTGAATTAGTGAGTGCTGGATCATCAATCACCCTGACAAGTGCAGTGAGGTAGGAACTGGGTTCTCCACCCAAGATACGACAGCAGTATTTCAAGTCGGTAAGTGACGAGCGGGGTGAGAGGGAGTAGGGATGGGGGGGACAGGGCAGGAGGGAGGAGGAGGCAGTGAACGGTGACTGATTGTGAATTAGAGCCGTGGCGGAGCGACCGTGTGCTTGTGTCGGTGCACGCCAGTGCCTGGGTCGCTGGGCAGGGCGATGAACGTGGACGGCTCGCTGGGCGAGCTGATCCCCCATGGGTTGCTGGCGCTCACTCGGAACTGATACTGCCCACCGGCGCTGAGCTCCTCCACCAGCAGGAAGGTCTCCAGCGTGGACGTCACCACGTGCTGCCAGCCTGGCATGCCTGCAAGATGCACGCGCCGTTACGCCCGCTCCGCTGCACTGGCTGCACCGAGCCCGTCGCACGCGACAAGCGGCACACGTCACGTCTTACCTCGACGCATTTGAAAGGGCAGCTCCAGTGCCAAATGCCCCTGCGCGGCACAAGGCGACTCAGCACCTGGCCTGCTACTGGGCATTAGTTTGCCTGAAGAGGTTAATTATTGCTATTTGGCAAATTGGGGACCATTATGCCTGCACCCAACAGCCCACACATTTCAAATGATGTCAGGCGATCTTTAACATCCACTTTAAAGCAGATGGAGCATTGTAATTTATGGTTAATACACCTGCAGTAATAACCAGGGCGACGTGCCGGATTCAAACTGCGGACCTCTGCAACAAGCGGCGAACGCTGGGCCATGTGCTCCAGCGCCTACGCCATGTCCGCTCCCCGCAAACAGATCACCCCTGCGCTGCGATTTCAGCGATAATCTGATGCATGAGGCACACTGGCAATCTCTATGCTTAGTTGGTCTCCTGTGACAGACAGGGAGCGTGGAGAGTGAGCGCCCATACCCTCCTCGCGGTACTCCACGGTGTAGCTTGAGATTGGGCAGTTGCCGGTGCTGGCAGGCGCCGGCCACCGCAGGAACACAGAGGAGCTGCTCCGCTCCTGGGCCACGGGGCGGCCCGGAGCTCCCGGCACCCCTGCGAGCGTGAGACCACGGGGAGCCGCTCGGTCTTCTTGTTTGACGACGGACGGAGCATCGCACCAAAATAATAAATGAAGTGCGTCGCGGAAGAGAAGGGAGGAGGAAGGGGCGTACCCTGCACGCGGAGCGTTGCCGACGAGGTGGAGGCTCCCACGTCATTGCTGGCCACGCAGGAGTACAGCCCGCCGTCCTGCGGCATTACGCTGTGGATCTTGAGCGTCGCCTCCCCAGAGTCACTGCCGGCCGCGACACCACGACATCTCAGCACACGCCCCCCGCTCGGCCGCCACCCCTGCCCCCTCACACTCTTTTCCTTTTCACCAATTTTATTCGAACCCTGGTGAAATGGGCCGCCAGGCCCTCTCGGAATAAGTCGCTCCTACAAGTGGAATTGATGCGATTCCACATAACGGTGGGAAATGTAAACAATTGGGCGGAAACTTTTTGTTGTGACGCTTTATCCGAGTTGTGTACGATCACCGTGGCTTCGGAGCAGGGGGTGTGCAAACTTTTCCTTATTCGTGCTCTTGGTGTCGTGTCTCCAGATGAAGAAATCTACACTCGGAATGCTCACAGCGAGGAGAGTAACACCGCCTTTTTTCTCAGGACAGCCCCAAAATATGACACTACAGAACTACTTCTGAAATCCCCAAAGGGAATTCCTGCTCAAATGAGCAAGAAAGCGGTGCTAATCTCCTGCTTGCAGCTGTGAGCCAGCAGTAGAAATTCCACACTGTTGACTTCCTCACAAAGTGGCGATCAATGAATCTACCTGTGCCGGGCGTGCGGGAGGGTGAAGGCCGGCTGTGCGTGGCGGCGCTCACCTGTACGCGAGCGTGTACTTGTTGCTGCTGGGAGTGATGTTGGCCTGTCCCGGACCACGCCATACCACGGTAGCGCGCGGGCGACCGCACACCTTGCACCGCAGGGTGGCCGTCTCGCCGATACCACAACTTGTATCCTGCACGGGGTGAAGGAACTCCGGGGCAACTGCACGACAACAACAACGACAGTGACAACAATGACAACGACAACAACAACGACAGTGACAACAACGACAACAACGACAGTGACAACAATAACAACAATGACAACAACGACAGTGACAACAATGACAACAACAACGACAACAACGACAGTGACAACAATGACAACAATGACAACAACAATAACAACAGTGACAACAATGACAACAACGACAGTGACAACAATGACAACAATGACGACAGTGACAACAATGACAATAACAACGACAGTGACAACAATAACGACAGTGACAACAATAACGACAGTGACAACAATGACAACAACAACGACAGTGACAACAACAACGACAGTGACAACAACAACGACAACAACAACAACGACAGTGACAACAATGACAACGACAACAACAACGACAGTGACAACAATAACAACAATAACAACAATAACGACAGTGACAACAATGACAACAACGACAGTGACAACAATGACAACAATGACGACAGTGACAACAACAACGACAGTGACAACAACGACAATAACAACGACAGTGACAACAATGACAACAACGACAGTGACAACAATAACAACGACAGTGACAACAACAACGACAGTGACAACAACAACAATGACAACAACGACAGTGAAACAACAACGACAGTGACAACAACGACAATGACAACAACGACAGTGACAACAATGACAACAACAACGACAGTGACAACAATGACAACGACAGTGACAACAACAACAACGACAATGACAACAACAACGACAGTGACAACAATGACAACAACAACGACAGTGACAACAATGACAACAACAACGACAGTGAAACAACAACGACAGTGACAACAACGACAGTGACAACAATGACAACAACAACGACAGTGACAACAATAACAACGACAGTGACAACAACAAGGACAGTGACAACAGTGACAACAACAACAACGACAGTGACAACAACAACAACGACAGTGACAACAATGACACCAACAACGACATTGACAACAACAACAACAGTGACAACAACAACGACAGTGACAACAATGACAACAACGACAGTGACAACAATAACAACAACGACAATGAAACAACGACAGTGACAACAATGACAACAACAACGACAGTGACAACAATGACAACAACAACGACAGTGAAACAACAACGACAGTGACAACAACGACAGTGACAACAACGACAGTGACAACAACAACGACAGTGACAACAATGACAACAACAATGACAGTGACAACAATGACAACAACGACAGTGAAACAACAACGACAGTGACAACAACAACGACAGTGACAACAACGACAGTGACAACAACAACGACAGTGACAACAATGACAACAACGACAGTGACAACAATAACAACAACAATGAAACAACAACGACAGTGACAACAATGACAACAACGACAGTGGCAACAATGACAACAACAACGACCGTGAAACAACAACGACAGTGACAACAATGACAGTGACAACAATAACGACAGTGAAACAACAACGACAGTGACAACAATGACAACAACAACGACAGTGAAACAACAACGACAGTGACAACAACAACGACAGTGACAACAACAACGACAGTGACAACAATGACAACAACAACGACAGTGACAACAACAACGACAGTGACAACAACGACAGTGACAACAACAACAATGACCGCAACAACGACAACAACAACAACGACAGTGACAACAATGGACAACAACAACGATGACCGCGACAACGACAACAACAAGCTTTGAGCTGTGTGCGGTGAACTCCAGACACACACTGGGGTTTCATCTATATACCAGCTGTCTAAGGGAACAGAATTCAATCATTATCGTCATCAGCCATGAGCAATCCACTGTGCTGAATGAAGGCCTCCCTAAGCTGCCGTCACCTCTCACAATCTTGCGATTAAACAATACACCCAGCACCTGCACATCAATTGATCCAATCGCTCCATCTCCTCGGTGGACGTTCTCTCCGATGTGTTTCATTCTTGGGCTGCCACTCCATTATGATTCTTGACCATCGGCCCTTCTAGTCCGTGCCCAAGCGCAGACTTTTCTTCAAAATTATAATTTTGCCTTTAACCTCCATTTGTTCTCTCAAGGTAACTCCTAAGCATGCATCTCTCCGTGCTTCATTGAACACACTTATCAAGTACAACATTTTGCGACAACGGGATTGGTGAAAATATGACGTGGACCAATATTGGGCTCACCTTCGTAAATGACGTTTGGATTCAGCAACTGCAAAATTAAAAAGATGGAGATAAAAGTCAGGCTTCGGAATGCGCACTGAGAGACACCAACTCCTCGTCACATGGAGACGGGGACGAAAGTTACATCCCAGCAGTGTACAGTGAGGGAAAAAAGTATTTGATCCCCTGCTGATTTTGTACGTTTGCCCACTGACAAAGAAATTATTAGTCTATAATTTTAATGATAGGTTTATTTGGACAGTGAGAGACAGAAAAACAACAAAAAAATCCGGAAAAACGCATGTCAAAAATTGTATAAATTGATTTGCATTTTAATGAGGGAAATAAGTATTTGACCCCCTATCAATTAGAAAGATTTCTGGCTCCCAGGTGTCTTTTATACAGGTAACGAGCTGAGATTAGGAGCACACTCTTAAAGGGAGTGCTCCTAATATCAGCTTGTTACCTGTATAAACTACACCTGTCCACAGAAGCAATCGATCAATCAGATTCCAAACTCTCCACCATGTCCAAGACCAAAGAGCTCTCCAAGGATGTCAGGGACAAGATTGTAGACCTACACGTGGCTGGAATGGGCTACAAGACCATTGCCAAACAGCTTGGTGAGAAGGTGACAACAGTTGGTGCGATTATTCGCAAATGGAAGAAACACAAAATAACTGTCAATCTCCCTCGGCCTGAAGCTCCATGCAAGATCTCACCTCGTGGAGTTGCAATGATCATGAGAACGGTGAGGAATCAGCCCATAACTACACGGGAGGATCTTGTCAATGATCTCAAGGCAGCTGGGACCATAGTCACCAAGAAAACAATTGGTAACACACTACGCCGTGAAGGACTGAAATGCTGCAGCGCCCGCAAGGTCCCTCTACTCAAGAAAGCACATATACAGGCCCGTCTGAAGTTTGCCAATGAACATCTGAATGATTCAGAAGACAACTGGGTGAAAGTGTTGTGGTCAATGAGACCAAAATGGAGCTCTTTGGCATCAACTCAAATCGCCGTGTTTGGAGGAGGAGGAATGCTGCTTATGACTCCAAGAACACCATCCCCACCGTCAAACATGGAGGTGGAAACATTATGCTTTGGGGGTGTTTTTCTGCTAAGGGGACAGGACACCTTCACCGCATCAAAGGGACGATGGACGGGGCCATGTTCCGTCAAATCTTGGGTGAGAACCTCCTTCCCTCAGCCAAATGGGTCGTGGATGGGTATTCCAGCATGACAATGACCCAAAACACATGGCCAAGGCAACAAAGGAGTGGCTCAAGAAGAAGCACATTAAGGTCCTGGAGTGGCCTAGCCAGTCTCCAGACCTTAATCCCATAGAAAATCTGTGGAGGGAGCTGAAGGTTCGAGTTGCCAAACGTCAGCCTCGAAATCTTAATGACTTGGAGAAGATCTGCAAAGAGGAGTGGGACAAAATCCTTCCTGAGATGTGTGCAAACCTGGTGGCCAACTACAAGAAACGTCTGACCTCTGTGATTGCCAACAAGGGTTTTGCCACCAAGTACTAAGTCATGTTTTGCAGAGGGGTAAAATACTTATTTCCCTCATTAAAATGCAAATCAATTTATAAAAATTTTGACATGCGTTTTTCTGGATTTTGTTGTTGTTATTCTGTCTCTCACTGTTCAAATAAACCTACCATTAAAATTATAGACTGATCATTTCTTTGTCAGTGGGCAAACGTACAAAATCAGCAGGGGATCAAATACTTTTTTCCCTTACTGTAGGTGCTCACTCGTCATGGGAACGGGCTGCCGGGCTGAGCAGCGATGATGCCCGCGACCGGGCCGAGCTTCCCAAGTGCCAGATAACTATTTCTGGCAAAAGTCTATCCACCCAAGCAGAGCCTGCTGTCAAGAGATACAGCAGCAGACACTGCTGCACATTCCCCCGACCCCACCAAACACAGCCCTCCAGAGGACCCGACGTTAGGGGTGATGAGATTAGTCGCGTTGCTGTGGTTAGAGTGCTGTTATCGCGAGGGCGGCCGTGCTGCGGTTAGGGTTGTTAGTGTCGCTACCTCCACGTTAGTGTTAGGCTGGGTCTCGTCCCACTCGCAGTCGGGAGAGACAGGCGAGTCCTGCCAGCAGCGTCCGCACAGCAGGAGGCAGGAGGCAACGGGGAGGTTGCAGTGGTAAGGAGGCAAAGAGACAGGTAGACAGGCACACACACACAGGCAGTAACCGACACAGACAGGCAGGCAGAGCTACTAACGAGCCGATTAGAGACAGACACGCAGTGTGCTGATCACAGTGGCAAAACGATGCAGGCCCCATATTTACGATTGCAGTTCAAGTCGGTAAATCCAGGTGTTAGTACGGAAGAAACAGATGGAGAACAAGACTTTAGTTCTGATAAGATTCCCAGGTGAGCCCTCTGTTTCACTCCCCACCTTGACGATGACGCGGTGAGGGTCGCGGCTCTTGTGTGGAGACTCGTCCGAGCGACCTTCGCCCCGACTCTCCCTCCGGCGCAACCGGAACGCGGCGTGCCACGACGGGGACTTCCTGTGAAGCGACCAGCACCATGACACATTCACAATCACACACAGCAACAGTCATACACAACCACAATCAACACAGCACACACACAGAGCACACACGTAACAAAAACTCACACAACACACAGCACAAACTTACACACACACCAACAACACACAGAGTGCGCAAAGAATAAACAGAAATCGCACCTCCGATTAGCACGGTTGGCTACGTACGGTGCAAAAGAAGTTCAACATAAATATATACTATCATGGCGCCCTCCCCACTGCCCCTCCCCACTGCCCCCTCCCCATGCCCCCATTCCCGTGGACCCCCCACACCGTGACGCAGCCGCACCTGACTCCGTATTCGCTGGTGACCTCCCTAGCGGCGCTGCCGCTGGAGCCTTGCCCCGCGTGGCCCAGCACGTGGCCCGGAATCCAGCCCTCCGCGGCGGGGCAGGTGGGGGTGGCGGCGCGGTACACCAGGTAGAGGTTCTGCTGGTTGGTAGCCAACACCTGCACCACCTCGCCCTGGGCCACGCTCACCTCGTCCTCGCGCACGGCGTGGTAATCTGCCGTCACCAGCATGCAGGCGCCGCCGCCGCCAGAGCTCCCGGTGTCCTCCCCCTGGGACTGCAGGCGCCGGCAGGCGGATATTAGCGGAGTCTCACTCTTACACAAATACCGGCGTCCGCACAGCACATGAGGCCTTTTGAGCCATCTCCCTATCAGATTGTTCTTCTGTCGCTGCTGCTACTACTACTATCAGATTTGCTTGTTGATTCCTCCACCCACGGTGAGGACTTTGGCTATGAAACCGCCTGTTTCGTGTCATCCACACTGTTCAACCACTACACCGCTGGTCACAACAACCCACTTACTCACCCACTTACTCACCCACTTACCCATTCACCAACCTACTCACTCTCTTACCCACTCACACACCTACTCACTAATCACACTGCTTTTTCCCTCTCCCTGCTCCACTATAGAATTTCCCTCCCATGATCTCTTCCCAAGCTTACTCAATTTAAACTAAAACTAAACTATATAGTTTACACGTAGGGCCCATTGAGCTATATAACTCCTTTTCAGAAGTGACCTGGCCACAAATGATAGCTCAACGAAGTGGCTTATCACGTATAAATTAATCGCAGCCAATACTCCCAACGCACATTTATAAATCCAGAGGGAACAACCTAAGGACCCAGGGAAAAATCCAAGCGACCACGGGGAGAACATGCAAACTCCAAATATACAGCAGACGTCAGGGTTGGGATCGAACCCACGACATCCTGTATACCAGGCGAGGTAGTTAACATCTCAAGAAACATGTAAAATCTTAGCTATTAGGACTTTTGATCGTGATGTTTGTTACTGGCCGTTTGACATTTTTTGCCTTTGCTCAGCAACTTTGTTTAAAAAAAAACCACGATAGTCTAAAACGCAGGTCTGACTGCAGTACGGCATACAGCTTCACGACACATACGGCTCACGTGAACTGCAGAGAAGCAGAAAACACACGCACAACGTGTGTGAGTTTACAATGGACACGGGGTGTGCGTACATCCGCCGCTTACCCCGGTGCTCTGCAGCGAGTGCTCGCTGGCGGTGGAGCAGTTGCTGAGTCTGTCCGCATCGCGGCCAGACGGTGGTCGCCTGGCGCGCCGCGGCAGCGAGTCCCCGTCGCCGGGAAAGCTGAACACCCCGTGCCGGTTGGCCGGCGACGCTGGGTCCGTGCTCCAGAAAGAGGTTTTGCCGGAGCTGGAGGAGGGGCTGGGTGGAGGAAAGGGGCTCAGCGGGGGCAGCGACAGGTCCCTGGGGAGACGGGACGGGGAGGAGTACGCGGAGCGGAGAGGGGACCCCCCGTCTGGCGGAGGACTGCCCGGTGGCGGCTTGCCCTGGGGCACGGTGTTTCCAACGCCCTGCACGCCGCGCGTCTCTGCCTCCTCCAGGCTCGTGCCCGAGCCGGACGAGCCGTGCAGGCCGCTGTCCGTCCTCCGAATGCTGCCGTGCGGGACTTCCGTGGCCACCGCTCGCTCCTTGGGCTCCCCGCCAGCGCCGGGCGACAGCAGCGCCGGGGCCGAGCCCTTGTGCTCCAGCCCCCTTGGCGAGCGCAGCGTGGGAAAGCCGGAGTTGTGGCCGACGGCCTCGCCGCCGGACCCCACCGTCCCCGCGGACGATGCACCCGCGATAGGGCCGTCGCTCTCTTTTAAGCTCGGGTGGTTGAGCGCCGGCAGAGAGGTGTTCCGGCCGACAGGGGAGAGGACCTCTTCAGCCCCGGAACCCTTGACCGTCGCCGCACCCCCTCCACTGTAGGCGGCCATGGAGGAGAGGGGACGAGGGGAGGCGCCGACTCCGGGCACGGGGGAGGAACCCGCAGGTGGGCGCAACCGGCCCAGGCTGTTGTAGTTGCTGTTGCCCTGGCTCCTCTGGTACTCGATGGGCGATACGAGCGCTGCGGAGAAAAGAGACGCGGGCGGACGACGTTAAAGAGCGGGCGACGTGTGTGTGAGCGCCGGTCTGCTGAGAGGACAGCGGGCTGCCTTAGTAAACGTTCAACTTGCAATCATCGCAAAAGAGATGTGTCCATCTCAAGGAACTTGCAGGGGAAGTATTTTAATTCATGAATACAAAATAAACACAAGCGAAACATCAGGGCAAGTGCAGTATGTGGGGAAGGAACTCGGCAGACGTGACCATGCTGGAAACACGAAGAGAATTTGAAGCTCGTGAGTTTTGCTGGGGAGTTTATTTTTTGGAAGTGCGTATGACGCTCTCTCTGCCGCGTGGCGCAATGCGGTCACTCGCGAAAAATGAAAAGTAAAAGTGCACAAAAAAGCGTGGAGAGATGCATGCTTGGAATTGCACCGAGACGCAGAGAGGAAGAAGTGGATCAGAGAACCTACGCAGGTTAATGACAGCAACCACACCGTTAAGGCTTGGGCAGGACGCGTCATGAGAAAGGAACGATGGACGACTGATAACGGAGCGGCCGCCAAGGAGCGGAACGTGTCCAAGAGGCCGTCCACCGAGGAGGTGGAGTGACGACATTGGTGCGTGCGCAGGTGCCGGAAGGATCATTGCGTTGCAGCATGGTGAGAGATGACGATGGCAGTGTGGGGTGGACTGGTCTCGGCTCGTGACACCGCTGGAGTTGCTTCTTGCCTTTGAGGAAGTTGTGCTGCGTCTCAAGGAGCTGGGAGAGTTCGTGCACCCAGGTCTGCCGCGCCTCCGGGCTCGACGCCTGCAGCAGGTAACGCTCGCCGCCCCCGGAGCCGGCCCCGCCGTTCCGCCACGCCACCGCAAACTTACACGGGTCGCCCTCCACATCCATCTGCAGGGCCAGCTGGCTTATCTGGAGGGGGGGGGCACAACGGCACACGTTTGGGGGGTGGGGCGCAGCAGCTGGCGGACTGGTGTGCCGGCGCCGGCGTTGTGGCACCGTCTTGGTTTTCCCTCCGCATCGTCGAGGACCGTCGCTTGCGACCGAGAGACGGTGGAGCGAGAAGGCCGATTGAGCCTGATGAAGGGGTGACGATCGAGCGGTCGGGCGGCTTGGATATCGACCCGCGATAGCCAACGCGATGCGAGGAGCAGCTGAGAGTCTCTGGCACGCGATGCTAATTTATTGGTTGCGTGGTTACGGCAGGAACGCCGCACAATCGCGTTGCTCGTTGAGATGTAACGATATACGAATGCTTCCCACGCAGCCATGACTAATCCCAGCTCCGCACGAGTGCAGGCCACACCCTGCTCATTCACTTGATCTGAAAATCTTCTGCAGATTTAAAAAAGAAAAGATTTCCCTGCTCACGGGAATTAACATCAGACTGCGGGCTCAATGACGTGACCGCTAATCATCCGTAATTATACAGCCTGGACAAACGCAGTGGCTATCTGCTGTTACGTTCCTATCGGCGCGACTACGGGGGGGGAGGGGCACCTCCAGCACTTGGCGTGCTGCATCAAGCGTCGCAGGCGACGAAAGGATTGTTTAGTAGTAGTGGAGTGTCGTGCTCAGTTTGACAACCCAAGTGTTTCCATTCACACCACTCAGCCCCGAAAACACACGGTAAAATAAGACAGCCAGTGTGCACACATCTCTGCACGAGATGACGAACACCCCTCATCTGCAGGATTATTACTAAGTGGCATAATTTAATTTAAATGTGTAAAGCAACCACGTTACGCAGCACATGTAACGTGAACCGTCCGACATCTGCACCAAATCTCCGCTGAAGCTCGGCGATGCGCAGTGCACGTGGTGCGGCCGGCTCTGACGCCGAGATGAAAAAGCAGACGCCACTAATCCAATAACGGAGCATGACGTACGCGGTCCGGGCGCACCCAGCGTGTGTGTGGGAAGCGGTGGTGAACTCGAGTTGTCGGGGTTGTGGTGCAGTGTGCTAACACTGCGCCACAAACTCCAGTTCCATTTCTGCTCGGTGTCGAATATCTAAACCGGTCCTGGGCCTCCTCTAGATCAACTCAGCCTTAAATTAATACCTGGTGCGGTGTGTAAACACTAGTAATGGGAACACAAAGGTAGCCTGGCGTGGCGTCGTGCTAACCACATCACCCGCTCATGTGCCGTGTTGGCCTTCATAGGTTCTCGCAAACAGCATTGCACCAATAACCTGTTAGTGGCTATAGGGGGATCTTTATAGGTGTGTGTGGTGTGGATATGTGCCGTGGGTGTGTGTTGAGTGCGCATGTGCAGCACTTGCATGTGGCATGTGTGAAGTGAAGATGTAGGCAGTGGGTAAGTGTAGAATGTACAGTGAAGAGATATGCGGTGAGTGTGTACGCTCAGCATGTACGCGCGGTACGTGCGGTACATGCGTGCATGCGTGCGCGTGTGTGGGTGGTGAGGGTGGTGCGAGCGTGGTGCCTGCCTTGATGCTGTGCTTGAAGAGGAACCCCGGGAGGGAGAAGCCACGCTTGCGGTCCAGTGGCTCGCTGAAGATGAGGATTTGCTCAAAGAGGAAGAGGCGGCGCTCCTTGCTCCGCGCTAGCAGCCCGGCGTCCGTCTGGCTCACGAGCAGCGTGTCCTGCAGCACCAGGCGGCCCTGGGCCGTCAGCTTCCCCTGCCGAGAGGAAGTGGGTGTCGGAGGTGACGAACAACCTGGACACCCTCTGTGAAACCCCGAGTATCGCAGGGCATTTGCCTCCCTCCTAACTCTACGGTCCGACAGGCACAACAGTTTAACCGTCCCGAGGGATCAAACCCACACAGGCACTCTCGCTCAGACACAGAGCTGTTTCAGCATGGAACTATCTCCCAGAACAACCAACTCGTGTCGCCAGTCCCAGCCAATTTACATGAACCGGTCGTGTTTACCACTTCTGTATTTATGCGTGTGTTTGACTGGGTGTGTGGTATTCATTGTATTAATGCAAACTGCATAATTAATATATTTAGAATGTAACGCGATACCCTGGGTACAATTGCAAACGAGACGTTTCCGGCTCAAGGGATTTTCCAGGTGGAATATCGTAGAAAATAAAAAAAGATTAAACGTAAGCCCCATGCTCGCTTCACGTGTTACATGCGACACAGCGTGGCGGGGGGGGGGGTCTGGCTTTGGGAGAAACCGTTCGTGCGCGAAGATCAAAGGAGAGCGCAGGCGACGACGTGGGGCGACGACGTGGGGTGACGACGTGGGGCGACGCGCGCTCACCTCGAATCCCTGCAGCCGCCCCACGGTCATCATGTCGTTGCATCGCTTGGGCACCACGCACATCACCTCCACCGCTCTCTGCAGGGAAAGGGGATGGCGCCAACGGTGAGACGGGGGCCACACTGCACCACTCCCCAGAAACAGACACGAGCCGGGCACCGCTACTGGGATCGAGCTGAGTTTGATGGAGCTGCCCTCCTCCTTCGCGCCGCGGCGGACCGCGGCGCTTTACACCTGCCAAGCGACTAACATCACATCTCACCTCAACATGTTAAAAAGGGCACCCCCCCCAGTGCTAGCTGCCCCTGTGGAGCACAAAATAATTTCAGCACCTGACCTGCAAGTGGACATTGGTCTACCAGTACTGTAATCCCAATTGTGTAGTTTTGCAGATAACTTTTAGAATTCGGCAAATTTGGAGCGTGACGAGAGCACAGAATGGCGGTGTCTCTTAGAAGGACATTGCAGGATCTTTAACGTCCACCATAGAGCAGACGGCGCATATCTTATGGTAAATACCCCCGCAATATTAACCAGGGTGACCCGCCGGATTCGAATCAAAGACCACTGCAACGACCGTCAAACATGCTACCGCTGGGGCAGGCCCAGGGGTGGCTCTCACCTCCAGTTCAACAGTGTCCAGCTCCGCCCGCCGTGTGTACTTGAGGAAGTCCTGCACACAGGAAAGCGACATCGCGTGAGATTCTGGAGAAGACTACACACGCCACGGCCGATGGTTTTTATCGCGTGTGATTGAAGTCGGCAGCGTCTCGCTAGCTGCTACACCTTGAGAAGCAGTTGGTACTTCATGATGCGCTGCACGGGCTTGATGAGCAGGTCGGTGAGCTGCAGCCGGTGGCCCATGCGCTGCTTGAGGTCCTGCGAACAAACGCACGCACGCACGCCGGCTCAAGGTGGGAAGACACCAGCAGGAGAATCAGCTGATCTGTGGGGTTAGACATGTGGGATTATCCTCTGGGGTGGCAGGGTGGCGCAGTGGTAACACTGGTGCCTCTCAGCAAGAAGGGCCTGGGTGTGATTCCCGACATGGGCACTTGTCCGTGTGGAGTTGGTATGTTCTCCCCCTGTTCTGCGTGGGCTTCTTCCCATAACTAAGGAAACCACACAATGTAACTGGTATTGGCCAAAACATCAAAATGCTTATCAATTTTCATTTTTTCTCCAAACATTACCACAAAACTTGTCAGGACCCTCCTGAAGAATATTATTGAGTCTCAGTTCGGCTTTCCTGGGTAAAATCACACAATAATAAAATGATGATGATGATATCCTCACCTCGAAGTAGGTGTCTATGTACTCGGAGACGATGTGCTCCGACTTGGGCTTGTTCTGGCAGTACACGATGTACATGTGCAGCCTCCGCTCCTGCAGCACACGCACACACATGCACGCACACACGCACGCACGCACGCACGCACACACACGCGTCAAAGTGAACAAAACGAAGCAGTGCCAGGTGGAGATGGAAGCGACGAACAAACGAAATGGATATTGAGAGATAGAGAGCGCGTGTGAGAACTCACGTGCTTAATGAAGAGCGAGGCCAGTCTCTCTGGCTGCTCCAGGCTCTTCTGTAGCTCCGCCAAGAAAAATCTAGGGTGGGAAAACGAAAGCAAAAAGCACAGAGAGAGAGAGAGAGATTCGTAGGTGAGCGCATGGCAGCCTCACTGGCATCCCTCACTTCACACGGAGCCGACGCGGTGGCGCCACGGCGGGGTCAACGTAAAAGTGGCGGCTCCACGGTGGGGTCAAGGTGGTGGTGGCCCTATGCTGCGGTCAAGGTGGCAGTGGCAGCCCCATGGTGGGGTCAATGTGGTGGTGGTGGTCCCACGGTGGGGTGAAGGTGGTGGTGGTGGCCCCACGGTGGGGTGAAGGTGGTGGTGGTGGCCCCACGGTGGGGTGAAGGTGGTGGTGGTGGCCCCACGGTGGGGTCAAGGTGGTGGTGGCGGCCCCACGGTGGGGTCAAGGTGGTGGTGGTGGCCCCACGGTGGGGTCAAGGTGGTGGTGGTGGCCCCACGGTGGGGTCAAGGTGGTGGTGGTGGCCCCACGGTGGGGTCAAGGTGGCGGCGGCCCCACAGTGGGGTCAAGGTGGTGGTGGTGGCCCCACGGTGGGGTCAAGGTGGTGGTGGTGGCCCCACGGTGGGGACATGGTGGTGGTGGTGGCCCCACGGTGGGGTCAAGGTGGTGGTGGTGGCCCCACGGTGGGGTCAAGGTGGTGGTGGTGGCCCCACGGTGGGGACAAGGTGGTGGTGGTGGCCCCACGGTGGGGTCAAGGTGGTGGTGGTGGCCCCACGGTGGGGTCAAGGTGGTGGTGGTGGCCCCACGCTGGGGTCAAGGTGGTGGTGGTGGCCCCACGGTGGGGTCAAGGTGGTGGTGGTGGCCCCACGGTGGGGTCAAGGTGGCGGTGGCCCCACGGTGGGGACAAGGTGGTGGCGGTCGTGGTGGGCGGCCTTACTCGCGGTGCCAGTCGTAGATCTGCAGGATGTTGCCAAACACGATGCGGTCCTTTCCCTTCATGTCGTCTGGCAGGCCCTCCTCCTTCATGTGCGCCATGTATCCCTGCCAAGACGCACGCATGCACGCACGCACTTACATACAGCGGGCTGTAGGAGAGGGAGTGGGGAGAGAGGGAGTCAAGTGGTGGGGGGGGGGGGGGGTGGAGGTGACAGTGATCGGGTGGCTCACCTCCACCACGAGGCCGAGGTCGCGCACGTAGTCTGCCTCCGTGTCCACCAGCTCCTTCAGCACCAACCTACACACATACAGGCACGCAGGTGAACACACACACACAGAGGAACGCGTGTGAAGAGGAAAGATAAAAATCCCCCACAGAGCCTCGAAAGACTTTTGGGGCAAGTGCTGTGAGGGAAGAGATGGCCAGCACCCCACACCTAGCCGCTTTTGTCTCCCCAGTGGCGATGTTTTCACATCACACCAGGTACTCAGTTGAGGCTGAGAAGACATAGGGGGGAAACCCAGAACTGGTTCAGCCTTGGCCTTGAGCGGGTTCGTTGTGTAGCACGCTAATTGCTGCACTACGGCACGCACACAAAACTGCGCAATTGAGCACAAAGTGAGGCCATGTGCAGGCCGCGCCCCGGTAGGTAATGTCTACCAGTGAGTGTGTGTTGGGGGGGAGTGGGAAGCGGCTGCATCGCACAAACGTTGCCAACTCCCTTCCCGTGGGCGTCGAGGAGTAGCCGTACCCTGGCGTGCCAGGAGAAGGCGGCCCAGCAACTTGAGTACTGATATAATCCGTGCCTTCTGTATGTGATTGAGCGTTTCCATCTCGCATGTGTGGATTTCCTCCCACATGTATAAACAATCATTTATTGGCTCAAAATTGCAGAGCTTGGACATTTTTTTGCAGTGCCAGCTCACCGTCTGCGGTTCCTCAGCAATTGCGTAAGATTCAGATCGCATGGACGACGACGACGCAATACAAAACTCAAGATTTGTATTATCATTATTGTGACTGTACCGGCGCTGCTCGAGCACCCGACTGCTGGGGCACGCAGGCGCGGGCGAGGACGGGGAGGCGGCACCCGGTGAGGGGGGCGCCCCCCCCGCAATCTTCGGTGCCAGTGAACTTGGCCGCTCCTCCGCACCCTGTGAACACGCACGCACGCAAGGATCCTCCCGTCAGTCCGGCGAGCAGCCGGAACCACGGCAGGTGGTGGCGGCGGCGCTTAGCGACGAGCGTGGCGCATGGGAGAGTGCGGAACCACGCCCGGCCACCATTGTTCCATCAGTTCAGCAGCTGTTGCTGACAGCGCACCTGACCAGGTGTTTGAAATTTCAAGTGTTTACTTTTAGGAAAGCTAATGTCAGCTACAGATCCCCTGTGCACTTGAGAACGGAAACAAATTTCTGGCCACACCTGGTCCCCCCTCCCATTACCCACGACACCACGAAACGTAAAACGCCCCCCCCCCACTCATGAGGTGATGAAAGAGTTTGGGGTCGCAACTCAACCCAGGAATTGCGGTGAATGTAGAATCTCCAGTGGCCGCAGCAGTCACATGGCCCAATTACAGCATGCATGAATAATACGAAGGATTTTATACATGAATCAAAAACCTAAAGAGTTTTGCAATCATATTATTAGTTTTTTCGGTAAAGTCACGTTGAAGAGAAACAACAAAATAACAAAATATATATAAAACAATAAAAAATTCTCACGACGTTTCGACCATAACTCAAACGGTCATCATCAGGTGTGTCGGTTTGCATAAATTTATTTTTAAAACGGCACATTTTTTTAATAAATAAATGTGCCGTTTTAAATAAATAAATGTGCCGTTTTAAAAATAAATTTATGCAAACCGACACACCTGATGATGACCGTTTGAGTTATGGTCGAAACGTCGTGAGAATTTTTTATTGTTTTATATATATTTTGTTATTTTGTTGTTTCTCTTCAACGTGACTTTACCGAAAAAACTAAGAATATGAATTACTGCAGTCACGAAAGCTTTAAATCAAAATTTAGTTTTGCAATCGATGAATCGATGCATCATCACATGCCTGTTGCACGCACAGATATTGTGAGGGAAAAAAGTATTTGATCCCCTGCTGATTATGTACGTTTGCCCACTGACAAAGAAATGATCAGTCTATAATTTTAATGGCAGGTTTATTTGAACAGTGAGAGACAGAATAACAACAAAAAAATCCAGAAAGACGCATGTCAAAAATGTTATGAATTGATTTGCATTTTAATGAGGGAAATAAGTATTTTACCCCTCTGCAAAACATGACTTAGTACTTGGTGGCAAAACCCTTGTTGGCAATCACAGAGGTCAGACGTTTCTTGTAGTTGGCCACCAGGTTTGCACACATCTCAGGAGGGATTTTGGTCCCACTCCTCTTTGCAGATCTTCTCCAAGTCATTAAGGTTTCGAGGCTGACGTTTGGCAACTCGAACCTTCAGCTCCCTCCACAGATTTTCTATGGGATTGAGGTCTGGAGACTGGCAAGGCCACTCCAGGACCTTAATGTGCTTCTTCTTGAGCCACTCCTTTGTTGCCTTGGCCGTGTGTTTTGGGTCATTGTCATGCTGGAATACCCACCCACGACCCATTTTCAATGTCCTGATTGAGGGAAGGAGGTTCTCACCCAAGATTTGACGGTACATGGCCCCGTCCATCGTCCCTTTGATGCGGTGAAGTTGTCCTGTCCCCTTAGCAGAAAAAAACACCCCAAAAGCATAATGTTTCCACCTCCATGTTTGACGGTGGGGATGGTGTTCTTGGGGTCATAGGTAGCATTCCTCCTCCTCCAAACACGGCGAGTTGAGTTGATGCCAAAGAGCTCCATTTTGGTCTCATCTGACCACAACACTTTCACTCAGTTGTCCTCTGAATCATTCAGATGTTCATTGGCAAACTTCAGACGGGCATGTATATGTGCTTTCTTGAGCAGGGGGACCTTACGGGCACAGCAGGATTTCAGTCCTTCACGGCGTAGTGTGTTACCAATTGTTTTCTTGGTGACTATGGTCCCAGCTGTCTTGAGACCATTGACAAGATCCTCCCGTGTAGTTCTGGGCTGATTCCTCACCGTTCTCATGATCATTGCAACTCCACGAGGTGAGATCTTGCATGGAGCCCCAGGCCGAGGGAGATTGACAGTTCTTTTGTGTTTCTTCCATTTGCGAATAATCGCACCAACTGTTGTCACCTTCTCACCAAGCTGCTTGGCAATGGTCTTGTAGCCCATTCCAGCCTTGTGTAGGTCTACAATCTTGTCCCTGACATCCTTGGAGAGCTCTTTGGTCTTGGCCATGATGGAGAGTTTGGAATCTGATTGATTGATTCCTTCTGTGGACAGGTGTCTTTTATACAGGTAACAAGCTGAGATTAGGAGCACTCCCTTTAAGAGTGTGCTCCTAATCTCAGCTCGTTACCTGTATTAACGACACCTGGGAGCCAGAAATCTTTCTGATTGAGAGGGAGTCAAATACTTATTTCCCTCATTAAAATGCAAATCAATTTATAACATTTTTGACATGCGTTTTTCTGGATTTTTTGCTGTTATTCTGTCTCTCACTGTTCAAATAAACCTACCATTAAAATTATAGACTGATCATTTCTTTGTCAGTGGGCAAACGTACAAAATCAGCAGGGGATCAAATACTTTTTTCCCTCACTATGTCTATACAGAGACAGAGTGAGTGAGTGTACATGCCTACTGTTCCATCTCATCCATGCTGTGTTCAACCACCACACTGCTGGTCACAACACTCCCCTCTCTGCTTCGTCCTTCGCACTGCTCCACTTTGGAATTCCCTCCCATCGTCTCTTATCCCATGCTCCTCTAATCAGTTTTCTCGATTCAAAGACACGTGTTACCTCTATCTATTACAACTTCAATCGTGTTGCTTGTTGCTGGATGGTTCACTTTTTGGGCTTGCGCTCATCAACTCTATATAAAATAACAATTAGAGACAAAAAAACCTGACGTGGAGACAGAGCCGATTCTTCCTCTCTGTGCTGCCTTCAGCGAGAAGGGGGAGAGCGGAGACTCAGACCAGCCACGTATTCCCACCGCACCCCGCGAGTGATTACGATCGCGACGGGCAGCCGTGACACTTACTGAGCGGGAGGGATCGCCGGTCGGGGTTCGGGCCTCCCCACAGGAGGCAGGGACAGACAGGTAAGCGGGCTGCAAGAGCAGGCAGGAGGAGGGAAACGGGCAGCGCAGGGTAAGGGCCATCAGGTGGGGACGAGTTGAGGGCAAAGGTGGGAGCGGGGGTGGAGGCAGAGGTTTGCACAGGAAGGGGAGCACTCGCCCATCAGAATCGTCACTGGAAGAAGAGCTCAACGATCAGAGGAAACGGCAGCAGGGGCAAGGAGAGGGGGAACTCGCGGGAGCATCGCTCACGGGTTCCTCGCCAGGGAGGAGGGAAAGGCATTCAAACCAAACACACGTCCCTCTGTGAAGGCCGTGCCGCCACACACACGCGGCGCAGCAGAGGGGCGCACGTCTGTGTGGGTGCGAGCGCGTGGCGGGCGAGTGTGCTAGCGCGTGTACAAGCGTGTGCATTAGCGTGTGCGCAGTAGTCAGCATTCATTTGTCGACGCGCCGGCGTGCACAAATACCGCGCAGCTCTGTGTTTACGGCTGTATCGCTGCGCGAGTGTTGTATGCGTGAGTGAGCGAGCGAGTGGTTGTTGAGCGAGCCAGTGTTGTGGTAGTTGAGCGAGCGAGTGCATGCGTGTGCGTTGGGATGAGACCCAGCGACGGCGGTGCTGGGCAGTGGGGCTCACCGGACGGCTGGGCCGGAGCTAGATCGCACGCAGCCCAGCAGAGGCAGCGGAGGGGGGTGGGGAGCGGGGGCTCGGGGGGATGAGGGCAGGAGAGGGCATGCGGGGTGGGGCACGGTGGGGTGTGCGGTGGCAGCAGAAATGAGAAGAACAGCGCCATGCGGGGGGTGGAGGGCAGACCTATGACCAGATTGACATTCACACTCATACACACAGAAATAAACACACTCATGCACGCCACACAGATGCATACTCACGCAACCCGCTGTATACTAAGCACACTCGTACACGATGCACACACGTAAACATACACACTTAAAGGCAGTTCACACTCATGCACAAAGACAGAGATCCCCCATGTAGCCTTAACAGACTTGTGGGGCAAATGCTGTTCGCGAGTAGCACCAATAAAGGTCGGCACGGTGGCCAGCACCATGCCCAACCGCCTTTGTTTCCCCAGTAGCGATGTTTGCATATTGTACCATTTTGAGGCCGAGTCGACCTAGGGGAGGCCCAGCACCAGTTCAGATAATCGTCACTGGTTTTGGCCGTGAGCGGGAATCGAACTCAGGTCGCCGGGTTCGTAGCGTAGCGCTACCTCACTCATGCACAACACGCATACTCACGCACACTCCCATACACTACACGTACACGCACTATACACTCATTCACACTACTTGTACAAACAAACACGCTCCCACACACTCACTTTAAAATCTGAAAGTACTGCAAGTGAAGGTGTAGCTCCCCGAACAGGATAATAAATACTTTCTGCCTTGAGAAGTAGATTGCCAGGATCGGACCCCGCTAGCCCTGGCCTGGCTCGTGCGAGCTGCCTTCAGCTCGAGGGGATTTATCACTGGGGTTGAGAGGCTTCTGCTGAAACTGGCTCATCACGTTCTGGACTGGACGTTGTCACGAGCCGAAACGAGCCGAGCGGCCATCGTCGCCGATGCACTGAGAATATTTGTTTTATTTTAGTGAAAAATGTCCTTTAAATAAAAAAATAAACACGTACAATGGAATGATAAATATGCGTGGAACTCAAAACCCTGACAATGCACAAGACAGCAGTAAATTCCTCCTCCTCATCATCATCAGTCTTCACATCCTCTTTTGGTGCGAGCTGCTCATGTGACTAGGGACTGAGGTCCGTGCATCGAAAACTCAAAACGCTCGTCTCTACACTCGTCACTACACTCGTCACTACACTCGTGACGACACTCGTACCTACACACTCATCACGACACTCGTACCTACACTCGTACCTACACTCGTGACGACACTCGTACCTACAATCGTACCTACACTCGTGACGACACTCGTACCTACACTCGTGACGACACTCGTACCTACACACTCATCACGACACTCGTACCTACACTCGTCACTACACTCGTGACGACACTCGTACCTACACTCGTACCTACACTCGTGACGACACTCGTACCTACACTCGTGACGACACTCGTACCTACACTCATCACGACACTCGTACCTACACTCGTACCTACACTCGTCACTACACTCGAACCTACACTCGTGACGACACTCATCACGACACTCGTACCTACACTCGTGACGACACTCGTACCTACACTCGTACCTACACTCGTACCTACACTCGTGATGACACTCGTACCTACAATAGTCACTACACTCGTACCTACACTCATCACGACACTCGTACCTACAATCGTCACTACACTCGTACCTACACTCGTGACGACACTCGTACCTACACTCGTACCCACACTCATCACGACACTCGTGACGAAAAACTCATGATGACACTCGTCACTCCACTCGTACCTACACTCGTACCTACAATCGTCACTACACTCGTACCTACAATCGTCACTACACTCGTGACGACACTCGAATCTACACGTGTGACTACAATGACTACACTCGTATCTACACTCGTATCTACACTCGTATCTACACTCGTATCTACAATGACTACACTCGTATCTACACTCATATCTACACTCGTATCTACAATGACTACACTCGTGACTACTCGTATCTACACTCGTGACTACAATGACTACACTCGTATCTACACTCGTATCTACACTCGTGACTACAATGACTACACTCGTGACTACACTCGTGACTACACTCGTATCTACACTCGTATCTACACTCGTATCTACACTCGTCACGACACTCGTATCTACACTCGGAGCCACAATTGTCATTAAACTCATATTTACACTCATACCCACAATCATGACTACACTCATACCAATGTAAAGAGGTGTACGGCTACACTTCCTTATATTTTCACACCAATGCATGCACAGCACTGTAAGACGCACACGCACGCAGCCAATGTCCATGCACACAACACACAAGGCCAGGGCAGCACGGTTCAATCGCAAGAGCGACAGCAAGAGAGTGAGCGAGCGAGGAGGCGGGGGGCTCGGGGCGGTGGAATGGGTTAGGGTCTCTGAGAGAAAACAGAAAGAAGGCCGCCGGTTAGAAAACCACCTCAACAGCGGCAGGATGAGAGTGGCCGCGCGCGGGGCGCACCACGCCATGCAGCCGGCACAATGACGCAAACGGAGAGGAGCTGGGCGAGCGTGCGGGGACGCGGGCCCGTGCGTGCGTCGCCGGGCAGCCTGCGCGCCTGCGTACGAGTCGGCGTGCTTCAGCACGCGCGCGCGTACGTACGTACGTATATACGTATGTACACGTGCTGGCATGCACGTATGTACGTATGCGCTCGCGCAAGGTCACGGGCACGCTGCGCTCTTTGTGTGCGTGTCCGTGCGCGGACATGTGCAGGCGTGTGCGCTTTCAGCGAAAAGCGGGATGTGTGCGAGCGGGATTGTGGTACGCTTGTGCTCGTGTGCGTGCAGATATTCATGCAAGGATGGGTGGGAGTGTGGCCGCGTGGTTGGGTGGGTGGGTGGGCGGGTGGACACGCTAATGAGCGTGTGCAATGGGTGAGTGAGCGAGTAGGTGAGAGAAACAGTGAGTGCGTGGATGAGCGAGCAAGCGAGTAAGTAAGAGGGTGACTGAGAAAGTGAGCGGGTCTGTGAGGGAGTTAGCGCGCAAGTGGGGATGCGGGTGAAGGAATCAGCGAGGTCAGTGGCCTCGAGAGTAACCGAGCCGGTAGACGGATGGATGAGTGAGTTAGTGACGAGTGAGTGACCGAGTGTACTGCTAGCAGCCATACCTCCTGCAGGAGGTTGTGCTGCTGAATGGCCATGGGTGGGGGCAGAGGCAGACTCTCGGCTCCATCCTCGGCCTCCTCCTCCACACACGTGCTCATCGCCATGGAGTCACCCTTCGAGGCACCGGCGGCGGCCTTCTTCCCGGCCTGCGGCACACGCAGCAGGCGACCGTAATCGCCGGCAGTGCCACATCAGCACGAGCAGCGTGCGACAAAACGAGAGCTCCGTCAATCACGAGCACACCTCAAGCCGAAGCTGGAGCCCCGCTGCTGTCATAGCCGGGTTGGAGCACCCAGTTCCTCCCTCACTGCGCCGGATAGAGTTTAGAGTCAGGGTGATTTATGATCCAGCACTCGCCGATTCACTACAGTCACTCGCTCACCGGTGGTCAGTCACCCCCTGATGACTCTTATATCGCTACTACCACGGTTACTGTTCCCTTGAACTTCACTCATCGACTCCTCCACACATGTTGAAGGCTTGGTCTACCACACTGACTGCTTCTTCTCATCCACCGCACTGCAAATCACGACATTTCTCTTTCTGGATCTTCCCTCGCACTGCTCCACATCTCCTTTCCCTAAGCTCATTTAAAAACCTCGCTCGATTTAAGAAGCATGCTGACTCCATATCTATTACAACTTTGACGGTGCCGTTTGTTGTTGGTCACTTGGAAATCTGGGCCTCAATACCTGCTCCTTAGCAAACAATTATTTTTCTTTATGCAAATCGGTTTTCATCATTCTCCTCGGTGCAAGCCTCACCTCCCCAGGTCCCTCGTCGAGCATGGCACCTCCATTCTCCAGGCCTGCGGGTTCCTCTCCCTTGCGGCCCCCTTTCTTGGCCGCTTTGCCTGCGGCCCCCTTGCGGCCACCCCCTTCCGCTTTGCTGCTGCTGAGGCGTCGCACGGGGCTCTTGAGCCATTTGCGCAGCGCCTTGCCGCCGCGCTGCGCGGCGGGGGACGCTTGGGGGGTCGTGGCCGAGGCCGCCGCCCCGGCCGCTCGCTGCGCGGCCTGAGAGGTCGCCTGGCCCGCGGGGCCTCCCGACGCCGCCCCCCCGGCGGCCGTCGCCTGGGACTGCAGGGACGCGAGCGACGGGGAGAAGATGCCTTCCTGGCTGCCGGCGGCCTCTGCGCGGAGAAACGCACGAGAGACGCCGGCGAGCGCGAGGAAGCACGTTGGCACGCACGAACCGCACGGACGTTTCAATGGCCCCGTGTGACGCGGCGCACGCGACGCGCGGGGTAGGAAGGGCGAGAAAAATGGCCGCCACGACGCTCAACCAGCCTACGCAGACTACCATAAGGACAACACGAAGCATCGCCATTTGAGTTCTCCCCAGGGGGCTCGGTTGTGGCGTAGCCGTGCGGCTCTGTGGATTCTCTGATCGCCCGAGGAGGGGGCACGCACGCAGAGCCACTGCCCTGCACCCCGGCTGCTCGGGCGCCTTTCCTTGGAGAGTTTCTCAGGGTCCTGTCTCAGAGCCCCAAGGAAAACCTTGATGTTGTCTCATTACTACAAGGCCCTAACCAGCCAACTCAGCGGCCATGCACACAGTGTGTGTTTTATCTGCTCAGGGCTGAAAGACCAGAATGGAAAAGCGGCCAGCAACAAACAACAGGATAAAGTTGGCATCGATAGGTATAAACACGTTTCTTAGATTGAGCAAGGTTGTTATGAGAATTTGGGAAAAGAGACAATTTTAGAGAATTCCAGACTGGAGGAGGGAAGAAGCAGAGCAATAAATGCCGTGACCTGCAGTGTAGTGAGCAAGTGAGTGGGTGAGTAAGTGGGTGATTGAGTGAGGGTTAGTAAGTGAGTGTGTGGGGTTAGTGACCGAGTCTAACAGAGACCCTGGCTGACAGAGGAGGTGTCCAGGCTGGCTGAGAAAAAGCAACAGGCCCACTCTCATTGTCTACAGCATCCCACATCAGAGAATGAGGAGGCTTACCGCAGCCTTCGCTTAGAGGTTCCGAGAGCCGTGAGGCGCTGCAAGGATGGGTGGTGGAGATGGAATCTGCCTCAGTGGCCCGCAATCACAAATCACTATTTTATTCCCTCAAAAAAGTAACTTGTAGTGCCACACCTATCACCATCATTATGGGAAAGAATGGTGATCTAATCTCTAACCCCCAGGAACAGGTTTGCAGATTTGCTGAGCATTTCTGTGAAGTCTTGGGGGAGGGAAAATCCCTCAGATTGGAAAAAATCATGGGGCAAAGTGGGGATGACCCTGCTGAGGCTGCTGTGCCTCAAATATTGGAACAAGTAGTCACCCCCTGCGAGTGGCTAGCTGAGGTGCTATCTGTTGAGGAAGTACTAAAGGCAATCCAGAGTCCGAGACCAGGAAAGGCACCGGGCAGAGATGATCTCCCAAGTGAAACGCTGAGGGAGGGTGGCGATTGTTATTATGTCATGTAGGGCAGTCTGTGCACAGTCTCGACGACTGGACGGTTCTGCAGGATTGGAAGGATGGCCTGGTGGTCCCCTTCACGTAGCCCGCATGCTTTTGCTTGGCAGGACAGAGGGGGCTAAACGGGCACGGCACAGGCTAGAGAAGAGATGGAGTGATGTGGTACAAGAGGATGTGGAGCTGAGCGGATTTGCCGATGACTGGTACCAGCGGTGTCAAGATCTGCCTCTGTGAAGGAGGCTCGTGAAGAAACGCTACTGGGCAGTTGGAGGCAGTCGCCCTCCAACAACAACGGAGGCCGGAGGAGCGACGCTCACAACAAGGAGCGGAGTGCCAGGTGGCTAAAGCACAGCAAGTTGGCACAGTAGGGGACACAGGTTGTGCATCGGCCAGACATCTCAGTCAGTCGACCCGTGGCACCTGGGTCTGCCCTGTGACCTCCTGCCAGCGGGCGTTCCACACTGCACGTGACCTCAACATCCACATAATCTGGCACAAGCGCCATGGTGACGTCACCGCCACTTAGTGGCAATGGGGGTTGTTGTGTGGGTTAGTGAGTGATTGTGAGGGTTGGTGAGCGAATGTGTGGGTGAGTGTGTTGTTGTGGCCAGCAGTGTAGTAGTTGAACACAGCATGGATAAGACAAACCAGTCAGTCTAGCAGACCAAGTTCTCAATATGAGTGAGTGTCTGGAGTGAATCGGTGAGTGAGTGTCTGGAGTGAATCGGTGAGTGAATGTCTGGAGTGAATCGGTGAGTGAGTGTCTGGAGTGAATTGGTGAGTGAGTGTCTGGAGTGAATCGGTGAGTGAGTGTCTGGAGTGAATCGGTGAGTGAGTGTCTGGAGTGAATCGGTGAGTGAGTGTCTGGAGTGAATCGGTGAGTGAGTGTCTGGAGTGAATCGGTGAGTGAGTGTCTGGAGTGAATCGGTGAGTGAGTGTCTGGAGTGAATCGGTGAGTGAGTGTCTGGAGTGAATCGGTGAGTGCTGGATATCAATCGCCACAACTGCTGCTTCTCTTAACTCTGTCCAAGAACTCTGCCCAAGTGCTCCTCCACTGCTGATTTCACAACAGCAGGGGCTCCAGTTTCAGCTAGATGCGCGAATCGCTGCGGCGCGCGGCAGGGCCAAGCCAGTCGCGGTGGTCACGTGTTACTCCAGGTGAGTTAACGGGGTTACGTAAATAAATCCGTACAAGTCGAACCTCAACCCTCCAGAGCAACTGCTATTTTAATGCAGGCACGGTCTGTTAGCACAGATATTTCCTGCACGAAAAACAAATGCCACTTCCAGAAGCATGCTGCCGAGTGATGGTCATTGTTATGTTGAAGAAAAAAATGAATACAGTTGTGGACAAAACCGAAGCAGCATTCCGACGTGTCGCAAAGCCACAGAGCCTCGAATAGCCCTGCACAGGTTTCCTTATAGCAGGAGGGCCGCGTCGACAGCATCTGCTACGAGCGCAGCGATTCATGAGATACCCGCACCACTCGAAACCCAGCACAGGTATTGGCACATGAAGCGCTCTGTCGCGCGTACATTCCGCGTCGGTCACCGCGGCGCGGAGAGCCGCGACGACCAAGGAACAAACGTTCACGGAGGGGAAAATCCCTCGCTTGGCAATTGTGGTGTGCCTGACTTTAGAACGTAGGGCACGCTGCCCTCTGCAAAATATAAATTAAAAGAAATAGTGAGGACCGCATCAATAATAGTTCCTGACAACGCACCTTTACGAAGCGTGAATTTACACGCGTGGTTGTTCATTTGGCAATATTTATCGTTTATGGTTTAATAGGGACAAGAGATAGAGGTTACAGCACCACCAGCATGTGTGTGCACTGTAAGCATATGTTATTATCGGCTAAACACCGATAAGGTGAACACAAAACACATGCAGATAAAGTGGCAGGGACACAGCACCACCCGTACCGTGATACCAACAGCAACAACCACCACCGCACAACCACCAACCATTCCAGCGCAGCAACAACAACCACCCCACTTCACCACCGCCACGCTGCTCAATCACCCCTCCGCTACAAATGTCACTCATCCCTGCCGCCTTAGCCGGCAGCACCGGTCAACCGATCGATCGATTCCTTGATGTAAAATGAAGCACAACCCCGCTGCAATGTGACATCTCTTTTGTGAGCGAGACCAGGCAAGTCATGGAATGAGAGATTTACAAAATCATCAGGTGGAATGCATGGCGGTGGGGCCGGCTAGGTTTACACGGCCACCGGGATACGGCGCCACGCAGTAACGAGTGATGGGGCCGTGCGAACAATGACGCGGCTCGGGTGGCCGTGGAGGAGAGCGAATCTCTTTGGCATGGGGACTCCTGGCCAACATGCACAACCAAGTTAAAGTGAAAACAAAGGTGAAAAGTCAAAGTGTTTTGTGCTAAAATGAACAATGAAGCGGTACTCATCTCCTGTTTCACAGCCCTGAGACAGGAGGAAATTCCTCATTATCATGACAGGGGCAAGTCTATGCATAGGACAACCACTTGCAGTTGACTCCACCACAAAGTGGTCCTCATTTTATTGACCCCAGAGGGAGGGATGATGGGCTGAGTCAACCCCTAAACAGGATTTTAACTCGTAACCTCGCGACTGCGAGCCGCTCGCTTGACCGTTGGGCCACCTACTCACGTTGAAGTTTATTTATTTAGTTTAACGTGGCGACAACGCAAGAGTCCAGGACAGTCTCAAGAGTGTCCGGGGTCACCATCATGACAAAAGCTGCAGTAACGCTGGGGGAAATATTAAATTGCAAACTGAACCAAATTTTCTAATTCGCTCCAACAACAAGGGCCACGGGACAGAGAGGTGCGCCGGCCACTCACCTGGGCGCCAGCAACCGCAGAAGAAGCAGTGGAGCCGTGAGAGCAGCGCCCTCAGTGCCGAGCCCTGTCGGTCCTCTCCCTTCTCCATGCATTCGCTAATCCACTTACTCCAAATTGTACCCTCGCAGACAGCTGCGACAATGCGAACCAGATCCAGCAGATGCGATCGAGCACCGCACTGGGCGAGGGCAGGGGGGGGGGTTCACGGTAGCCACGGAGGGATCCTACCGGCGCCGCTCTATCTCATCCGGCTGTCGTGCAACCACCCCGAGGCTTCCCGCTCCCCACGGTGAGGTCCGATCTTCCGTTCGCCCAGCGACGTGCACTGCCACTGGTTCCTCAATCGGCTTTTAGAGTGAAATTTCTCATTTTCTCAACGCCGCCTCCCCCTCTTCCTTCATTCCTGTGCCATCTCGCACTCACCCTGCCTCCACGTTGCTGTACGTTCACCTATGCAGGCCAACGTCTCTGGGCTGCCAGGCATGATCAACACGCCGCCGCGCCAGACGGACTGGTTCTGCCGAGTGATCAGCTGCACGCCCATGTGCTGTCATGCGAGCACATGGGGACGCGGTGGGGGGGGGGGACAGAGGGCGGCGATGGGAGGGGGCACTTAATCCCAGCCCACGTGCATCTCCCCTGGGTCTGGGGGGTGGGTGGGGTAAGGGCTTGCTGGCTTCGGGTGAACGGACCGAGCCGAGACCGAATCGCTATGCCGGAACCAGGAGGGCGAGCGCGGAACGGCGATAAGCGACCGGATCCAGGCAGTGCCACCTCAAATCATCCACGTTGCCCCACTGATACAGGTTCGCAGAGCAGCTCTAGAATTCTGAAAAAGTGGCCCAATATACTCGATGAAGTGTGCCAACGAA